ACATGAAAGAACTTTACAGACTGAACTGTGGAGTGCAGTTACATGGCGGAATCAATATCATTCATATGGAGTCACGTGGCTAACGTGATCCGAAGACAGGTCACCTATCTGGCCCTGGAGGAGGGAAATTTTAGGGGTGATGAATGCAAAAGTGTTTTTTATAGCTTGATGCTTTCATAGCCGAATGAGGACAAGGCAGTAGGACAGAAGAGTTGGGTGGGGGGAAGGGCAAGTTGAAGTTCCATCTGCCCAGGATGGAGGACTGGTGGGAAGAGAACAGTCTCTGAAAAGACGAAAGATTACAAAGTAGAAAGGGTTGACCTGGGAACAGGGTGTTTTAAAAAGAGTGGCAGAGCAGAGAATAAAGTCACAAGACTTGTTCACAAGAGGGTGCTGGGTTAAAGGCTGACCTTGAGCTACAAATCATGGAATCACACGGCTGGAAAGAATCTTAACAGGCCATCTCGTCCACTCCCCCACCATTCAGCAGGACATTTCAACCATCCCAAACAGATGAGACTTTATCCAGCTCTGAATGAAAAGCTCTGACACCAAATGGGCAGGTATTGACTGCTCTGGCTTCGACTGTTTACAACAGGCAGGAAACAATTTCTGGAATTTCATTTGAACCTGAACTGCAACTAGGGGCAAACAATAAACAGCTAGATTCTCCTTGGGAACAATAAGTGACAGCAGTTTAGGGATTGCTAAATTCACACTAACTACAGAGCTACTCTTAAAGAGAGGGAAAACATCACCAAGGAGGCTAGGTTACAGGGCAAATGGCCCACAATATCATCCGGGTAAGAATGGACTGTGATCATTCTTGGTATTTGGCGGGGGGGGGGGGGGGTGTCTTCTCTCCATGCAGGAGCCTTGGAGCAGAACAGTAACAAAAATAAAACTTGTTGTTGTTTTTTTTGAAAGTAATATGACCTAGCAAATTTCAGAACTGACACTGAGGGCTTAAAAGCGTTCAGTTCCTCTGCTAACACAAGACAATAAATCCTCACACAAATTAGAAACTGAAAAGGAAATAAAAAGGTCCTCATTTCCAATCGTGGGAATGTTGCACATGAACTCTGGCTTGGGAGGAGGAGGGGAGGACATTCCACACCTGCAGGCCTTCCCAGGAAAGGGGCCCGGGCCTGACCCTGAACCCATCCCCTCAAGGTTACACCACGGGGCTGTCAATATGGAAATAATGTTACTTTATTCCCTTAGTGAGTATATTGTTTCCAGTGCTATCAACAACAACCATAACCTGAAAGGAGGCAGCTGAGAATTTCCATGTGAGAAAGTGAAGAGTTATTTTGGGAAGTGCTCATAAATGGCCGAGCTGCAGTCCATCCGGATGGACACACATAGGCACACCTGCCTAGACAGACAGAAGTTAAGTGGCTCTGCATTTACAGATGCGTCCTTTGGAGCACCCTACTGTAGTGTAAGAGATACAGCACCAAGCCAGGGGCCTAGGAAAATAACCGTATACTCCTGGACTCACCACTCACTTACAGGTGAACTTGGGCAAGTTAACTTGATTCTATCCACTGCCCCTGCCCCAATCACTAAAACGTTAGGTCAATTTAGTCAGGCATTCAGTGAATCCAGATGTTTGGCAGTGTACAGGAAGCGACATCTGGATGATGGATCGAATCTTCAACTGAACTCACTGGATGCTTTGGCAGCATGCCCACACAGCCTTCACCGGCTTTCTGCCTCAGTTTCCCTGGCTATAAAAAGGGACAGAGATTATTTATCATTTCCCCCGCATGGTCAGTTAGGAGGAAATAATGTCCAACGGTCACAATGAGTTCTTGAAAAGAATGATTCTGTGACAGGACTATATCTTATACTGTTTCGGGTTGAATACTTTCCCCAATATAACCAGTTAGACTATTAGGACATAAAATCACTTTGAAATAAGGATAAATGCTATACAAATATGACACACCATCATCATCTTCTTCACCATCATTACTGCCACCGTAACATTCTTCCTTGACTTTCCTAAAATGTCTCACTTTCAGACTGAATCACAGCCAAAATACAAATTTTACTGAAGGTCTGAAAAAAAAAAGGTGTTTGGCCATGTAAAGCAAGACAGATGAGAAAAAGAAGTCAATGTGGGTGTTTGGAGCCCAACCAATTTTAACAGCTCTACTTAAACAGGTAAAACTGGTCTATCAATGAGAATTAATTGGCTGCTCAATGGTATTTGTAAGGGAACCAAAAATGTTCACACACACATTCACGGCAGAGGTGGGAGAAAGAAATTGTCAAGGTGACTTTTCAACTCTCACAATATACGTCTCCCCGCCTACGAAGTGGTCTCAGCTTTTGTGGCTGGAAGTCAGAGAAAAGGCACAGAAGGAAACAGTATGGGAGACAGAGAGACACATCAGAAGGATATACAACCACACAAAACTGGGGGAGCCGATCAGACGGGTAAAAAATACTGGAATACTGCTCCCTTTCAAACTCAAGTCCTGCCTACAGAGGAAATCCTGAATTATAATAATCTTAACTGCCATTTATTATCTGTCATGTATATGCAATTATATACACTTGTGCGTATATGAAAAACATACAGAATATATAAAGTACGTTACACACGTAATTATATTTAAGTTGTCTATAATGGGGGTATAGATAAAATTCTAATCCTCACAATAACCTTATAAGAGAGGTTTTGATATCTTTCTATAGTACAGATGAGAACAACACAGTTCAGGTCAAGTGACTTGCCCAAGGCTATATACCTAGTAAGATCTATGGTCAAATTCAGAGCCATCAGGATCCAAAGATCATGTTCTACCCACTACCCCACGTGGCCTCCCACAGTATTCATATCAAACATGCAATGTCTTTGCCAAAATGCTGTAAGTATTTTTAGTGACCATTGGATCACCTAGGAGCCCGTGTCTCACTGATACAGCATTCCGTTTATCCGAGGTAGGGGTCCATGCTCAGGCCTTTGATCTTTCTCATGACTGTCGCTCCCTCTCTTGTGTCTACACATGCCTTGTTTATGGCCGCTCTTGGCACTTGCCCCCTGCACGATCCTTCTTCCCCTAGCCTAGCCTATCTCAGGCCTACACACAGCAGCCCAAGCCAATGAGTAACAGCCCTCTCTGGCTCTTCATCACAGGCTGCCTCTAAGCACGTTCTGTGCTTGTGCTTCCCCTCCAAGGAAGCTGTGAATACACAGGATTAGATTTCTTGCGAATCCCAAAGCCCCTGGCACTTGAACGAGCACATAGTAGGTGTTCCTTAAGGTCCATTGACCAAAGAGATCTGTTGATGGTATTCTTCCTTTAGGATTAGGGGCACAGTGAAGGCGCCTGAGAGTTTGGCCTCACCAGTGTTGGGGTCTAACCAGTTGAGTGGAGCCATCCAGATACAGCTGGTCAGAGATAATTCGGAAATCACTCAGAGGACAAATCCTGGTATCGTCCCCAGGTAAAGCGTACCATGCCCTCAATGTCCAGGCAGAAGCGATTTACATTGTGCTCCGCACCCTTCAGAGATGTGTTTTGAAATAATCCTGCTATATTTAACCAAGCTGTGTAGAACTTAGTGAGGCTGTGAGTTCACAGAAAGAAGGGTCTTTTCGGCAAATACTGCCATTATCACGTGCTTGGCAGCGCTAACGACTATATATTAAGTGCTCACTGGGTGCAGAGCACTTTATTAGGCACTGGAGGAGTCACACCCAAGTGTCTCGTAAATACTTTCACAAAGCCATTTGCAGTGAAATATACCACCATTAGAAAGCCCTTCCTAACATTTTCTAAGAACCACAAAAATGTCATTGCTAACCTTCCTATTAAAAAACAAAACCACGCCAATGGCTTCCTATAGAAACCTCTGTGCTTGCACAGGATTTTAGTTGCATTAAAGTTCTTCCTAAGCTACAAATAGAAGTCGGTGGTGCCAGGGCCCTCCCACCCATGGATCACGGAGCAGGAACACTGTCACTCTGGTATACGGTGGCACTCTGGGTGGCATTTTTTTTTTTTATTGTGGCCACAAAGCAATCACAAGCAGATGGTACAACTCACTTCTATTTGTGTCTTAGTTACTAAACTCCTCATGAGAGGAAAAACTCTGTGTACAGGTCAAGGGAATCTGTGGGTGTCTCTGCGCATGGCAGTGAATCAGAAGTTGGCAAGGGTGCAGTGAAGCTGGTCTTCTAGTATCTTCCTAGTGGTGGTGAAAGCTGATATGTCCCCGCTGGAAAGCAATTTGGAAACATGTACCACAATGCTCATATCCTTTAACCCAATAACTCCAATACTTTAAGAAAATGATCTAAGATCGGAAGAAAGCACCATGTGTGCAGAGGTAGCTTTATTTATGATGGTGAAAAATTTGAAACAATCTGAATGTCCAGCAAAAGCGAGCTAATTAAATGTGACGAATACTTAGAGAGATCGTAAGCAGCCACAAAAAATGATTAATAGGAAGATTGTGACAAGAATAAGTGTTTCCAATATAGTGTTAATTTTAAGAACTATAAATCACGTGTGTGGTTCCAATTATGTAAAAAGTCTGTGTGAGTGTGGTTTTCTGAACAAAAATTAGAAAAGAACAGGTAAAAATGAAAACAGGATAGAGTAGTGGGATTGAGAGAAATATTTTTCCCTCCACTTTCCAAGTTTCCTCTAAGATTACAAAATCATCTTCATAATTTAAAGGTGGAGTGAAGGGGCATCCGGCTATGTGTGACTCTTGATCTCAGGGTCATGGGTTCGGGCCCCACATTGGGCATAGAGATTACTGAAAAAATAAACTTAAAATAAAACAAAAATAAAACAAAACAAAATAAAAATGGGGTGAAAACCAAGGGTCAGAAGTCCTTTTTAACAGAAAGAATCTTTGAAGAAACTGAAGAATGACTCCCCCGCCCAAAGCCCAAGCACATAGTTGGAACGGCAGACACATGTGTCCATCCCTCATTGTTTCCCATTTCCATTTTTGTCCAATAGATCACTTACCTGGTTAATGTGCTTCAGTTTGTCAATGATTTGACTGACCACTGGCTCGGGGCCCTTCATTTTCAGCTCGTGGAGGTTGAACTGATTTTTCATGCCATTCCGTGCCGCCTTCTGGCTGTACCTGGAAAGGGGAAGGTGGAGAAAAGGTTTGTCACAGGAGAGTCTCAAGCCAAATAAAAGCTAACTATACGTGGCACCAGTGGTCAAGCTGCCCACAGGCTTTCTTCAGCTTCTTAAACCATGGGAAGACCCCATGGTGCAAAAGTAAACCACTCCACATAGAGTCTGTTTGCAATGGAGAACATTCATTCAACAGTCAACAAACATTAATTCAACATTCTGTTTTCTAGGAGTTGAGGATACAATGATGAACAAGACAGACAAAGGCTCTGCCCTTTGTATTCTGGATCTAGTGTGGTGTCCAGAAGAGTTAAGAGCCGAAGGTAACTCAGAGAGATGAGAGCCACGTTGAGGAGGTCCTGGGTCTTGGTCAGGGGAGCACGCAGAAGGGACCTTAACTCTGACTGTGCTTTCTACTTACTGGAAAAAGAAAGATGCTTGCATGTTCTTTACATCTTCCTTCTCTTCCACTTCCTCTTCTCACCATTTCCTGCAGGCCTTGGGCCTGGGTTTCTTTTCAGGAGGCATTCCCAAGCCATGTGCAGCATAAATTGTCCTTGCCTTATACACTCCTCCCCGCCCCATTATAATAGGATCATAGGGTTGAGGGCAAATTCGTATTTCTTTTATTCACATTTTATTTTGTTAAAATTTTTTAATTCTTATTGATTTTTGAGAGAGGGAGAGAGACAAAGCACGAGTGGGGAAGGGGCAGAGAAGAGAGGGAGACACATAATCCTAAGCAGGCTCCAGGCTCTGTGCTGACAGCAGAGAGCCTGATGTGGGGCTCAAACTCATGAACCGTGAGATCATGACCTGAGCCGAAGTCGGACACTTAACCCGACTGAGCCGCTCAGGTGCCTTTTATTCACATTTTAAATTACAAAAAAAAAAAAAAAAAGTAATGTTCATTGTAAACAATTCAAACAGTACAGTAATAAACAAAGCATAAAGTAAAAGTGCCCCCCACCATCCTACCTTCTAAGAGAGAAGCAGGGCTAACAGTGTGATATATATTCTTCTAGGGGTTTCTGCGCACTTTCACTAACAAACACATAATTTTAACCCAAATTGGAAGCATACTAGTCATGCTGATTTGCAACTTTTTATCGCTTAATATATACCTTGGACACATTTCCATGTCAGAACATATAACTGCCTTGTTCTTATTCTTCTGTATGGCTAAGTCATAATTTCTTTATCCACTCCCTGGTGAACAACTGAGTTACTTCTCATAATTTGCTAATATAAACAACACTGCAAAGAACATCCTTGTATACCAATCTTTGCACATTTGTATGAATACCTATAAAGGATAATTTCCTAGAATTTAATCCCCTCATATTTCTAATTCCAAGTTACAACATGCAAGAAGTAATATTACCGTATTATTGTACAGCACTTTACGAGGCAGCGTCTTATCATCCAGCTTACTTGAGCTTCTCAACCACACTGTGAGGTGGGTGGGACAGGCATCTTTATTATTTATTACTGAAAATTCTACCACTTCCGAAGACACTGATCTGATTCTGTTAGGTGTTCCCTTCCATGATACATTGTATCTGCCACTATTAAAGACATACTTTGAAAAAGATGTATGGTAGCAGAGGAGATCAGGAAGTCTGGTTCTGACTTTCATAATTAAAACTTGTCCTCTAAAAAGGAAAATCTATTTTTTAAGTAATCTCTACTCCCAATGTGGGGCTCGAACTCACGACCCCAACATCAAGAGTCTTGCGCTCTACCAACAGAGTCAGGCAGGCACCCCACGAAAAGGAAAATATTTGGTAGTAAAGTTGTAGTAAAGCTGAAGAGAACATTTGATTACGTTTCTTCTGAAATGATAGCCTAACATATTCAGCTTATTTAACTATGAACGTCAGTGAAGAGACAGATCACCGACCATCAAATACCAATTAATTGCCTTTGGGGCTATATTAAAAAACCGTAAAGCAGTATTCTTTATTTATCTATCTTGTGGCAGCCAGCTTACTAGTCTCTTCTTTTATGTCCATAATGCTGCTTAAATACCATCTCCTCCTGATGATACCGGCAAGTTCATCGTCTCTTTGCACCTCCTGATGCCTGAGGCAGAGACCCTATTCACAGATAAAGAGGTAAGGCTATTATAAATCTTTGGAAATGAACTTCAGGAATGTGTCCCCAGAGACATTTCCGTGGGATTATTCATATCGAAGCTTGCCGGCCACTTTTATGCCTGCTCCTACAAAACAAATGTCTTCCTGAAGTTTACGACCCTCATTGGAATAGTGTAAAGACATCTGCCAACGTAGCGATTTTGTCCTCTATTCCCTGTTCCAAATCGTCTATAAATATTAAATCAAATTAGTCCCACAGCTGATCCCCTGCAGCCCTACAATATTCTTTTTTGCCACTGAGAAAAGTGTCCCTTTTGCTCTATTTGTTTTTGCTGTTGTTTCTTACCTCTAAGCCATTGGATCAGGAGCCAGGACAAGATACCGCTCTCCAATCCCGGGGTGACTTGAGTTTTTTAAAAACAGCTTTGGGTTGAAAAGCTTGCCAAAGTTTTTGAAAGTCAAAATAGCATCCACTGTTCCGCTCTATCCATGTGCTATTTAAATCCTCAAAGGATTTTAGTAAATTAAGCATGGTTTCTGGTTACAGAAGTGTTAGGAAGAGCTGGCCTGTGGCTTAGACCTAAAGCTTGCCTTTATTTTATGTGTTCCGCAAAGCAGTAACCAAAAGTACTGATCCAATTGATTCCCATAGTGGCTACAATTTCATGGGACTGTTTTAAACCTCAGGGTCCTGTCCTCTCTCTTTAGGCATCTCAATACCTTCCCTAAACACCAGTTGTTCTATTCCACACCCCTCTACCCTGTTCTCCTTAGCCAGGCAAATTACAGAATGGAATATTATATAGATGTTAAAAGAACATAGTCGATCTAGAGGTGGTGACGCTAAACCAAATCCAAGATACAGTGTCACAGATACGAGCAGGGGTCACGAATGTACAGTATGATTCCATTTGGATTAAAAACGGGCATGCTTGTGCATTGCTCGCCTGTACCTTACGAGTGTTTGAATACAGAACATTTTAAGGAATCGGTAATAGCAATTACCTCTGATGAGCCAGGGGCAATGTTGGGGAACTGTGAAATTTTTCTTTTGTGTTCTTCCATACCTTTTACATTTTAAATCTTTATAACAATTTAATTTTTAATGATTGAAAGTTTATATAGTACTTAATTTTCATTTTTTATTAAATGTGTTTAATGTCTATTTATTTTTAAGAGAGAGAGAGAGAGACAGCAGGGATGTGAGAGGGAAACCCAGAATCCAAAGCAGGCTCCAGGCTCTGAGCTATCAGCATGGAGCCCGATGCGGGGCTTGAACCACTGAACTGGGAAATTATGACCTGAGCCGAAGCTGGACACTTAACTGACTGAGCCACCCAGGCGCCCCAGTGGTAAATTTTCATCAAGGCAAAAGAGAAAACAAAAGGAAAGAAAAGGTAAATTAAAAGCCGGTCTAACTCCTACACATATGTCAGAGCCTGTGGGAAATCCTTCTTATTAGGAAGACTTATGTTGGCCATCACTAGCAGCCCAGCCTCAAGGTGGCTTCTTATGTCAGCACAGAGATCTACAGAATGCAACGGGCATGGTGTCACCCCGGAACACCTTCAGACCTCAGATGCTTATCATCAAGTCACTGTCGCTGCTTTGTTAGGTTAAACACTGTCCTGTGTGTTTTCTCCTCTTCAGTGAGGTAACCCCCACCTGCCTATCTCAAAAGGACAGTAGACCAGCGAGGCTGTGAATATGAATGTACATTATTGGGAGTACCTCCTCTCAAAAGGAAGCAAGTAAGTTATTCAAGGTCTCGCTCACCTTCCCTGTAGGGGCCTAAAAGGCCTTTCCTTGAAGGAACTGAGGGCCTCCCTGAGCCACTCTGATTCATCCTGACCTGCTGCCCTGTGTGTAAGTGTATTGGGAGGGGCACCCTGACTTGCTCCTGCTATTAGGTACATCCCACTCGCCAGCCCGTGAAGGCTGTGAGGCCTCTGAAGGCAGAGGTTGGCTTAGTTCTCTTTTGCACGACCCAAAGTACCTCACGGTATAATAAGGGCAATAGCTGTCGGAACTGAGCGCGCTCTCTGTGCCAGGTGCTATTCGCAGCACGAAGAGAAAACAGGTTTTAGCTCGCTGACTCCCCTGAACAACCCAGGGAGACAGACATGATTCTCTTCTTTTGAGTTTTTTTTTTTAATTTTTTAATGTTTTATTTATTTCTAGGAGAGAGAGAGAGAGACAGCGTGAGCAGGGGAGGGTCAGAGAGAGAGGGAGTCACAGACTCTGAAACAGGCTCCAGGCTCTGAGCTGGCAGCCAGCACAGAGCCCGACGCGGGGCTCGAACCCACGAACCGCGAGATCATGACCTAAGCGAAAGTTGGACGCTTAACCGACTAAGCCACCCAGGCGCCCCATCTCTTCTTTTGAGTTTTTTAAAAAAATGTTTATTTATTAATTTTGGAGAGAGAGTGTGTGTGCGTGCGTGTACACATGCCCATGTAAGTGGGGCGGGGGAGGGGCAGAGAGAGAGCGAGAATCCCCAGCAGGCTCTGCCCTCTCAGCACACAGCCCAGCCTGAGGCTCAATCCATGACCTGTGAGACGGTGACTGAAGCTGAAATCGAGAGTTGGAGGCTCAACCGACCGAGCCACCCAGGCGCCCCAAGATAGACACATTATCAGCCTTTTTTTATAGATGAGGAAACTGAGGCACAGAGAAGTGAAGTCACCTGCCCAAGAAAGCTGGAGTTTGAAACCTTGTGAGTCTATCTCTAGCTGCCTCTGTTGCTTTTAAGATTTTATTTTTTTTAAGTAACCTCTACACCCAACATGGGGTTCAAAATCATAACCCTGAGATCGAGAGTCACATGCTCCACTGGTGGGCGGCCCTAGCTACCTATGTTCTTTTTTTTTTTTTTTAAGTTTATTTATTTTGAGAGAGAGAG